TGTAGGTTTTCCTTGGAGGCTGTCCCAGACTTTGTAGGGCGAGCTAAACAGTCCCGACTATCTGATCTATGTGACCCCCGCAGTTGCGGCACTTAGTGTGTGCCTTGCACTCCGCGATGGAACGCAAATTTGAAGTGCAATTCCAGCAGGCTGGGGCGCGCGAGCAGCCCCTAGTGCCGTGGAATTATAGGCATTATTTGCACTGGTTGATGCTTTGACGGGGCTGGTGGCAGACTGCAATCCCAGAGTCGTCGAAAAGTCGGAAACCTGGCCGAGGGATCGATGCTTTTTCAAAAAGGGCTACCCATGACTGGTATGGGGCGCCCGGTCAGCTTTTCCCGTGTGGGCAAACTTTTATCGGGACAGCTTTGGTGACCCTGACTATCTCGTCGGCCACCATCTTTTCTGTGATGAGAACTTTGCCCATTATTGTGTTAATTGCGACTGAGACCGTCGCTATTCTAAGGGAAGCCAAGTCCGAGGCTTTCTCCAATATCGCATCCTGCTAGGCGAAGGATCCAGCTAGGCCAAGCATCAGCGCGCGTGCCTCTTGGTTTTCGGCTCTGATTGCGAAGCCAGTTAGCACACGGTAGACATGCTCAATTTTTGTTTGGGGGATTTCGAGCATTTGCGTAATTGCTTCTCTAACACCGAAAGGTGAGAGTGTTCGCCGGGGATGTTCTTTTTCGAGGCGGAGAAACAAACGTTCATCTTGGACGGCCGGTTTTGTTGGCCCGGTTGAATTTTGGGCCGTTCAAGTCGAGTTTGCCGCCTTGGGCATTGTCTGCGCGACTGTTGTAGGTGCCGGGAACGTCTGTAGACCATTACGGGTGATCGAGGCCCTAGTGGTTGCGGCCTGGCGCACTTCGGCTTGAATCGCCTCGCGTTCTGGCTCACTTTGCTTACCAGCAGCACATTTTGCGGTCTTGCAACTAGTAGCCTGGCTTTCGAGGCGTGGGGGAAGTTATGGGAGGACTGTACCCGGTCCCGATATCATGAATTGAGCTATTGCAGCTCTAATGTAGACTTTCATAGAGTCTATAAATTGAACATTCGACCCTTTGGATAGGGGGAGAGAGCATTCTCCACATCGTTTATTGCAGCGGTGCAAATTTTCACATTTTCCGCAGTTTTTGCGGCCCGGCGTTCCTCAGCCTCAATTAAAGCTCTGAGTTCGGGGGGGATTCCTCAGTCTGCCTGCCTGCGTTCTTTTTTTTTTTTTTTTTCGCGACAGATTTTAATTGCGTATGCTGCTATCTAGCTATGACATAATATCAAAGAAAAGTGTAGAAATGATGACTCAATTTACAGGAAGAGTACTCATGCCTCGGATTTCATTTGCGACTATCACTGCGAAGTTATGGTGGCTTTTTCTTCATCCCAAGTCAACCCTCATCCGTGAATACCCACCCAGGGTAACGTCTCAGAAACCCCGAGTTATCCAGACATGCCTTCGTCATCCATCAAATTTTCTCCCCGCGAAATGTAATCTGAGATGTCTCCTTCCCAAGTGGAGTAGGTGCTCAGGCTACTCAAACTATACCAGAGAACACCACCAGGAGGCGGACCACAAAGCCTTCCATCGTTTGCTTGTGTTTATAGTGTCAGCTGCACTCTTTAGTTCCTATCATGACTCTTCATAAGAGAGAGAGGTTTGTTTATTATACTGCTTGAGTCTTAGGCTATCGAGCACATTTGGCTCCTCTCTAGTCCAGGCCACACCTTGTACAGTTTTCCTCGCCTCTTATGTTCCTCATAAGATCATTGATATAGTGCCCGTGATGAATAGCCATTCAGCTCAGTGTTTACCCGTGGAATTCAGCCACATTTTCCACGGGACTTTCTACCCAAAAATATAAAAGTGGTAGCAATTGAAACTGCGTGCGCGGGAAAAAGTCTCAAAAACCCTGCAGCCTCAGCCAGGCGAGGCCTAGACACCGGGACTGCATGAGGTGCGCATATCCACCTTTATCTCCCTACTTTGTAACAGTCGAGGCCGACTTGATCCAATCTGCCATCTCCGTATCGGGTGCTGGGTACGCTCCGGAAACTCATCGGATGGCTTCTCCTCCATGATCAAGGGTTGGTGATGAGTAGAGCTCCGACCCTACCATCTGATCTGATCGTGGTTAGCTACATGATAGTGGTGATAGGGAAATGTGTTGAGAGATGAATACTGTACAGACCGCGAAAGCGATTGGGAATCCTCGTCGGAGTGAGGACTTTGTTACTCAATCTCGACTCTGCTGACTCTACATTGAGAGCTGGAGAATTGTAGGGGCCACAACTGACAGATGTTTAGAATAGTCACCCTATGAAGATTAAAGAAAGGGTTCCATTTTAGTAACTCGTGCTACGGAGACTGATCACGTTAGCTACCCCCAAAAGTATGTTGTAAATTGAGTTATATTATGCATAGAGAAAGAACTACGAAGACTACATGCTTATTTTCTCAATATCGCGCATCCCGTATGGATTTAGACATAAACTATCCTCTATACAACTCCTTCATTAGGCCAAGCCCTGCACCTTAAGACTTCTCGATAAATGTACCGGATAAACTCCGGTTATAACTAAATAAGGCATTAGCCTGTAATAACTCGCGTGACTTCGTCAGAAGCTATCTTGGATATCGTTGCAATCGGACCTAAAATTATGCGTATTGTTACCAGGCTGATGGCCATTTGGATGGCAAACAGATTCGATGCTGGTTCTAGCGTCAAATTTATGCTTCTCCATGATGCGGAAGAATAAAAAAGCTCCTTTCCTGTAAAATCATCTTTTGATGTCATGGCAAAGCCGATCCTGGCCCTCTGAACCAACATGAAATTGCCCTCCTGTGTATCTAGGACCTGCGGTGCTGTTGATCTTACACTAGCTGATGCCCGAGTCCAAAGACCGCCTAGGCCACCGTAAATCGAAGGTCAAGGCAAGTGTGACTCTGTCGAATCACCAGTATTTTGCGCGCGCTTCGATCATCACTGACTTGCGCGCGCTAAATTTACTTGTATTGATTGAGAGTGAATTTGCAACTTTTCAGCATATGTCACTCCCTTTTCCTTTACGCGCGCGCTTTGATTAGGCTTACCAAATCATGTTCGTTCATTTTATTTATGCGCGCGCTTCATGCTAGAGATTCTTGAGGTTGTAATTTTCAGGAGATTGACATCCAAAACTGTTTCTTACTCAAATAAGACAGAAAGGCCGAGCAGAAATGATATGATAGATGACAAATGGTTTGCATGTATATAAGCTAGTGAGATGAGATCTGAAGAGGACAGAGAATTCAATCCATTTCAAAAATTTTTAAAGTATCTCTGTGCCGTTTAATAGACTTTTATGTCGGTAGCACTTAAAGGGGGTGGATTGTTGGGACGTGCAAGAAAAGTTAGTGGATTACTAGCCGGGCTAGAGTGCGCGAACTGGTCCGATGGTTCTCTTCCAAATATTTGGATACCGTCTAGAAGCTCTTAAATTTCGCCTACAGAGAGATATTTGAATGCCGCTCCAATGCTGCTTGTAGCCGTCGAGAAGATTTCGAAGCAAGCCGCTATCTGCGTCGTTCAAGGCTCTTCGGCCTCCGTCGTTGAGCGCAGTTCAGGCAGAAATTTCACTGCTGCGGTGGTGGTAATGAATTTGGAAGCTAGCACAGTGGTTTTCACCACAGATGAATTTGCAGAAACGGTTGTCTTCTATCGGGAAATTTCCTTCCCTGGAGCTGGTTGTCTCGAGGGACTGATTTTTTGGCCTCGAGATTATCGTTCTTTGATCTAGTAGGCTAATTGTTAGTCATTTACTTTTGAGTAAATTTGGAGGTTTCCCTTTTAGAAGGTCTTCACTCCTGCCCAAGCTTGCAAGTTTTTGAGGTCTACAGATTTTGGACACAAGAGTGTTCGTTCAATTCCGCAAGCAGTTTCGCCTTTGGACGCTTGTTCCTCGCCAAATGTACTCTTAAATGCCTTCCAATGGTCAATAATCCGAGATCACAAACCAGGAAGTTATTGTGAGGGGAGAGAAAGTTTCAGATCGTGAATTGGAAATTTTCCAATGAGAATGGCGCGCTGTATTAATTACTATCTAGTGTGCCAAAGTTATCTTTTATCTCGTAAATTGACTTACAATCAGTCCTTGAGGCAGATTCCGCATGTCGAATCTTGAAAGATATCTCTAGAATATGTTCTATTTTCCTTTGCATATCCAGAATAAAGTTAAATTTTTACCATGGAGACTTTCATTTAAGCCTAAACTATTCTCCAACTTTGATAAGGTGCTAGAAATATACAAGGGATCTCCCGAATCTATAAAAGTTTCAATTCATCTAGTCTGACTAAAGTCAGTGATTGAGGAGTACTTTTACTAATTTTAACTTGTGAATTTTTCTGCATATATGAATAGACTTTTCATGATGCTGCAGCCCAAGTTGAAATGACCTTACTGATTGAAAACGCCAAAAAATCTGCAAAATTTTGTAACTTTATTTCATAATTTTCTGTCACGTAATCCGGGTACTGTCAATCTGTAAATTTTTAATATATCACGGTTAATTCCCGATATAAATTTTCTGAACCTGGTAACTGTTTTGTTTCTGCTAGGTGAAAAGACGATACTGTGACAATATCGTGTTACACAGACTACTTTCAAGAAGCCCTACATGAATCCCGAGACATAAACTACAGTCTGATCCATAAAATCATACTGTACCAGTTTAAATTTTTGATGTGGGAAGTGAGTGAGACTATCTGACGACATTATTCTGGCTCTTACCTATTGTGGCCAGGGATTACCCATAATATTGTATCAAGCAGAAAGGAGGCTTCGAGGCAATTCTCCCCATGGAAACATATTCCATAGACGCAAGTCTCCGGTCTTAAACGACTGTTAAACGATTATTTTGACGACAGCTGTTTCTCCTCCTTCTTTTAGTGGCTATTATCTCTTTCCTCAATCACATATATTTCACGGTTAAGGACAAGGTTAGGCATGGAGCCCATTGAATAGTATTAGCCTCGTCTATCCAACTTGTTTAACTTCCTAGCAGTAACAATCTATAGACAGTCAGAAATTGTGCTTCTTCAGTTTTTCGAGTTATTTACCTGTGAACGCGTCCGTTGGCCTCGAACAGGCAAGCCCATGGCATGTCGTCTACCACGGTAACTTCCCATCTCCTTCAAACGAAGTATGTTAGTCTGGACAATCATGCGCGCCTCGGTCTCGATAGTCATGCTTGAAAGTTCATTGGTTAGAGCAGTAGTAGTTTTGTTGGAAAGTGATCCAAGTCGCGCCTGTGGAAATATAAAGTATTTGGCCAGGATACGGGTCGAATGCAGCTTGCCAATTCCATAGAAACTCTCGAGTGCGTTCTTTACTCGGATTGTCAGCCTGGTGTAAAACAACGATACCACTGGTGGACTACGCTACCTTGACCAGCATAGAATCAAGAAACGGTGTCCCAAATATCATCACCTGAATCCATTTAGTGTCTAGCCAAAAGCTCATGGTGTAGGTCCCACCATATTTTCGATTTCTTCCTCGACTTCTCTAACGCGTCAATTCTTAAAAAGGTTATAACCCCACGTGCACAGACTTGTAATTGAATGATGATTTTAATTGCTATATTGATAGGTTATGGAGAATTGGTTTGGCACAATTAACTGTGAGAAGCAATGCCGGCGACCCTTGGTCTTACTTTGTTTCTTGGGCGTTTTTAATTGCTCTGTCCCGACAGCCATGTGATAGCTTCCTATACAGAGAAATTTGGTTAGTCATCGAACTCATTTATATGAGATGTGTGACCGGCTGAACGGAGACAACATTAAGACATGCTGATACACGAATTTCAACCACTTCTCATACAACAAACAATAAACCTAATATGGAAATCTACTTCAACAAGCAAGTTCACGGATAAAGACTGAAAATCTACCCCCAGTGTCCCCTACGAACCTGAAAGTTGAAATTTCATCAAGAGCAAAATTTAGTCGAATTTCGCAGTACCAAACAAGTTGGCCTACAGAGTGCAGCTGACACTACAAACACAAGTCAACGATGGAAGGTACCGTGGTCAGCCTCTTGGTGGTGTTCTCTAGTATAGTCTGAGTAGCCTGGGCACCTACTCCACTTGGGAAGAAGACGCCTAAGATCACATTTCACGCGAAGGAAAGATAATGGATGACGGAGGCATGTCTGGATAACTCAAGGGTTTTGAGACGTTTCCCCGGACGGGGACTTACGGGTGAGGCTTGGCTCGGGATGAAGAAAAAGCCACCATAACTTCGCAGTGATAGTCGCAAATGTAATCCGAGGCATGAGTACTCTTCCTGTAAATTGATTCATGCTTTCAGTACTTTTCTTTGATATTGTCTCACAGCTAGATAGCTGCATACGCAATTAAAATCTGATGCAAAAAAAGGTTGGCCTACGAGGCAATGATTCAATACTCTCCACAAAATAAATCTCACTCACAATGAGATTAATTCTCGCCATAGCCTCATCAGTTTTACAGGCACTACCTATTACATCCTCAGTCTAGCAACCACAACTCTCAAAGGCTCATTTTCTGGCCTCAGCTATCCACAAACCACACCTTTACACGAATACGAATACCCACCGGAGAAGACAAATCGCGGTGCACAAATTTGGGAGGCAATTTTTTGCGATTGATGTAGTAGAAATCGGGACAAGTGGCCAAGATGATGCTAACGTTAGATAAAATGTCGGAAGAGGTGAGGTATTGACTCTTGGCAAGGAAGTTTACAAATTGAAGAGTATTGCGCACACCAAGCCTTTGATGGGGAGAGTGCAGGTGAAACTATCAACTCAAGCCAACTATCCAAAGTGCTGTGGCACAATATCTGGGCCGGACTCCCTATTAAATTTACATAGCTACTACATTTATCCCACTTGAGACGGGAGATTGCTGGCTCGAATTTGGCAAATTACAACTACATTTCTCATCGCGCTGGTATGCATGGCTTAAGAAGGCATACTTGGATAATTAAACGTTTTGAAACTTCACTTCGGTGAGAACTAATAGAAGAGGGTCGGGTGTCTGTCTAGGCAAGCATACCTCAAAGAGGTGAGTGAGTGAGTGTGATGTTTTCATTGGACAACTTGAGTTTATGACTGTCTTGCAAATTGGGCTTGCCTCGAAGAGGTATTTGCTAGCGAAATCAAGAGTATAATTGTCTCAAAATTTGAAAAGAGCCATTCAACATGCATAGATTGCACTAACCATGTGTCATGGCTGGATAGATACATGAATTGTTGTTTGCACCATGGAAATGATGAGCCCTCAGTCATTCGGGTTGCAAAGCGCATTGACTCAAGTAACTACCGAAGTAAAACTAAGTACAGAATTTGTAGTTGCGTGTGTGTCAAAAGCGTGGCCTACTTGATAGCCCCAATAGTTCTGAATTCAAACAGTTTGTTAATTTTTAAATTAACGTGCATTGCATTTGACACCCCCTTCACTCCGCTGGGAGCTTGAGCACTGATGGGTCCAGGCTGGATCTGGTTAACTACTTTGTAAGTACAATAAACCTCGTTCCACCTGAAGGACTGGGCCACCTCAGGATTTAACCATGTGTTGAAAATGTCAAGTCCAACCGTTCAGAGAACCCGATTCTGACGCGCCGAAGCCCAGTTTCACCTTCAAACTTGGCCACCACGTACCCGAGCGGTTAATATCCTCCCAATCTCTATTCTATTCTTTCTGTTCAGACCTAGTCATGCCTCATCTCATCTAGGGGTTGTCCTTCTCACTAGAGACTTCATCAAGCTGGTCAGCGAGGCCTCCTCAGTTTTTTTCCGTTTCTTCTTCCACTGTGGCTTTTCTTAACCCTTCTATCATTATGACCATTGCAGAAACTTTGTAGAATTCCCAGCCCTCCGACCAAGCCCCGTCGCTGCCATATCCCTATCTGTGGAGGCCGAATTTGGGTCAAAAAAATCAAGACCGAGGCACCAATGCCTCAACTTTTGTCGAATGCTCTAATTGATATGCCGGCGATTTATCGCAGGTTGATTCTTTGGTGCCCTTATCCGAGGTATAGACTAATATAAGGCAGGTACTTCGACCGTATCTTCGCAGCGCGTGACCATTGCGGTGGAATGAATTCTGACTTGTATATTAGATTGCAAGTATGACCGTTAGCTCCTGGAGTGCTTCGTTGCGAGCTGGAATGATTGTGGAGAGGATCGCAAGATGAGTTGATATGTAAAAAGGATCTTCGGTTGGAAATGGAGACACCGAGTGTTGTGAAGGTACGGGTCCTCATTTTCGTCTTGGTTCCCGACACGATCTTGTGTGTATTTAAAATGCTCGAGGGAGTAATTTAGTAGGTCTTTAGACTAACTTTTGGCTGCATGAGTGACATTAAGTCGTTAGCTCAAGAAGGTTATTGGGGGTTTTCTAGGCTTGGATTGCGCCACAATCGATTATGCTGTGGCTCAGGCTCTGTGTCGCTTTCACCTGTACTTGTAGCGCACACTTCCCACTCTTTTAGTCGTAATCCGAACATGTCACTCTTTTAGTTAACTTCTTCGTTAGTTTCAGAAATATCGCGCCTATTTCATTGCATGATATTTCCCACAATAGATCATCTCAGTCTGTGGTTGATAAATTTACGACTCAGGCAGGTTAGCTTCTATCTGTCGAAGTCCGTTGAATATTGGGTCATTCCGGAATTATAGGGAAGGAGCAGACGGAAAAATTGGCCAAACAGCTCTAAGAGGAATCCCAGACTTAAGGTTGACCAGAATTACACCTTGCAGCTTTGAGCCGGCTCGACCGAGAACAGGCTGAGGAAGCTATAGAGTCCTGGTATCGTGAGTAAAGACCAAGTCGGTAGGAAGAATTGGAACTGCTTAGGAGACAAAAATGACCATCTGAGCTTGTAATGCGGATATAGACGTACCATCGTCTGACAGCAGCGAGGATAAGACACGGTGATTTTGAGGGCTATCATGACAGATTCAGGCACGAAAACGACGGCGGCAGATGTATCTGTAGAAGAGAGAGACGTCCTTGATGCTTTGTAGAGTGCCGAACAACTCTGCCACAATGGAGAATATCCAGACATGAACCACAACCGAAAGGACGGAGAGACGGGGCTGACCTCCTAATGCAGATATGAAGTAAATAAATTATTCAGCTTTCCTGATTTGGCGCCTTGAGGCGCATGCAGGTTTTATGGGAAGATATGTACTTTAAGTAGGATCACTCAATTTGACCTTTAGAACATCCACCCTCACATTTCATTTGCAGATACCACTCGGGGTTAACCCTTGCGGCGTACAACCTCTTCCGTGCATACCCACCACAGGGATAAGCGTGAAAAACTTGTGGCTATCCAAGTGTGCTCTCATCATGCCACAAGTACAATATCACGGCAAGAGAGAGTGTGGTGTGTGGGTCTTACTGGAGTTCGAACCAGCTTCCTCCTGCCTCAAATGGGGTAGGTGTTCAAGCTACCCAGATTCTACTTGGGAGAACGGGCCAAACAGTGTACCACTACACCATCCAGCCCCAGTAGTTGTGTAATTAGAACTAATAGCGCGGTGGTCCTGTGTTTACGCGTCGTATATAGAAAACAATGGAGTATTTGCGACCTCCCACAGCCCCGAACCCAAACGAATTTCTGTCAGATCAAGCTGGCAGATCATGTTACACCCATGTATATGTGTCTACACATTTACGAACCGCCGATAGTCATTTATGGAATTTTAAGTGATCACAGATTTGATGGGTATTGACCTCTCTGGGATCAGAGTTACATGTGTATGTCCATCAGACTAGATAGACACCGTCCCCTAGACAAATAGAATGCACTATCGCTAACTTATTCTGTTCTTCTTGTTTTGGTGGTAGCCCGCCATAGATCACGGACGGGAGGATTTCTGTAAATACTTCAGCGTAACGAGTTGTTGCAGAAGAAAATTTTCACACCGAGAGGATTAATCCTTGTCGAAGAGCGGAATATTTTTGCAATTAAATATGAGAGTGGGCAAGGCGAAGAGCGTTTTTTGTCCAGGCTGTTTTCTTTATCTCTTCTTTCATGTACTTACCCGGCCTAGTAAGTTGGACGGAGTGGCAGTAGTGAGTCTTCAAGGAACATACACCTATATCTTGTCTCTCAGGTATAGGGCTTTTGCCTGAAACGAAGTTAATAAATGTGAGGATCTCTGGGGAAGGCAATTACCGGACACCTGTACACCGTGTCCTCCAAGAAACTGGGAGTGGAAAACTATGTGTGTTTTTGTTTATTGAGCTACTTGAGTCTGTGACTATCTAGCACATTGGACTCCCCTCTGGCCCAGGCCACACCTTTTACAGTGGTACTATCCTTTTCTGTTAATTATAAGATCATTGATATATTGCCCGTGATGAATAGCCATTCAGCTCATTGTTTACCTGTGGAATTCGGCCACATTTTCCACGCAGCTTGCTGCCCAAAAAGGTCAAAAAAAATGGTAGCAATGGAAACTGCGTGCGCGAGGAAAAGTCTCAAACTAC